TGCAGATTCCGCACACACATGGCCGAGGCCGGAATCAAACTTTTCGTGTGTTTCTCTCATGAATATATGGTGCATGTGTTCTTAATTTTAAATGTGATTATTACACAATTAATTTATATATGCATGTTAATTTTTTGAGTTTCTAAGTTGAATAATTCATTTTCATGTGTGATCACATGTTCACTCACATTCACATGAACACGATCAGAGCATAAACAAGCTGAAATGCATCTTCACTCACATAATGATGTGGAAAAACATACAATCAGATGTGGCACATGCATCAGACATCTTTGATTCGGCCACTTTAGCACTGTGGCACAGACCCATCTTTCTTTCTCATCTCCTTTTTCTCTCTCTCATTTCTTCTCTTTCTTCTCTCTCTCTCTCTTTCTCTCTCTCTCTCTCGGGTGCATTTGTACTTCCTAAGGACACGTTCAGCCAGAGAAGTATTAATTGGGCCCTCTGGTATTTAACACAGAAACAGGTACATCATTATACAGGTGTGCTAAGCGCTCTCTCTCTCTCTCTCTCTCTCTCTCTCTCTCTCTCTCTCTCTCTCTCTCTCTCTCTCACTTTTTCTCTCTTAGAGAAAACAAGGCAAGAAGGCAAAGAAGTTTTTTTCTTCTCTTCTCTTTCTCTCTCTCTATTTACACATGTAGAGTACTATCACAAAGTACCTTGAAAGATCAAGATGTTTATCATTGTAGTTTATACTCAATTGCACACAGACACACACATTCATTGATTGGGGTATAGGATGCTGAGGTTAGCATATCTGATCATCCTTAAAGCGCATGGCTAACCTCAGTCCCTATATATATGCAAATCCTCCTCATTCTCCTGACGCTTACTACTGACAATCTATGACCCATATTGATCAACAAGTAAATGTCTATGTATGTATGTGTGTGTGTGTGTATGTGTGTGTGTGTGTGTGTGTGTGTGTATGTGTGTGTGTGTGTGTGTGTGTGTGTGTGTGTGTGTGTGTGTGTGTGTGTGTGGCACGCATGCTGACAGAATTAAACTGGATCATTTCAATTAATGGAAAATGACTCTGCTGCAATGAGTTTAACAAAGCCAAGGAACTGATTTGATCTGGTTCGACATGAATCAATGTTATTTAGTTTAAAGGTTCAGTTCAGGGTTGAAAAGAAAGACAAAAAGCGACTCATGAGAAGCTCCTCCTGTCTTCCTTCTTTTCCTTTCTTCTCCTCTCCTTTCCTACATCCATCCTGTCTTTTCCTTTGCTTTTCTCTTCACACCATCCTCTCATTTCTTGTCCATTTTCCTCATCTTCTCTTTCTCCTTTTCCTCTTCCCTTTTACTCCTCTCTTCTCCTCTCCTCTTCCATTTCTTCATCACAGTTTCTCTTACATACCTCTCATTTTCTTCATGCACTCCATCTCCTTTCCTTTATTCTCCTCTCTAACCTCTTTTTTTTCAATTCAACAACCAAAGTCCTGTCTTCTCTCATCATCTCCATTCCACTTGTTCTCTCCTCCTCTCTCCTCTCCCCTTCATTTGGTCTTTTTCAGTTTCCCTCTTCTTTTTTCCTCCTCTCCTCCTCTTTTCTCCGAAATACCTCAGCTTATCTCTATTCCCCTTTACTTTCTTCTTCTTCTTCCATCCTTCCTTACACCCATATTCTACACCCTTACTCTCATTATCTCTGTCTCTTCTCTTCTCTTCTCTTCTCTTCTCTTCTCTTCTCTTCTCTTCTCTTCTCTTCTCTTCTCTTCTCTTCTCTTCTCTTCACTTCTCTTCTCTTCTCTTCTCTTCTCTTCTACTACTTGTCTTTGCTCAGTAGTAGAATTCTAGATTTTCTTGTGCTCTCCTGTACACACCTCTCACCTTCATCTCTTCTCTTTTTCTACTAATTTTTGTTCTCACCTTCCCCTCCCCTCTCATCTCCTATCCTCTCTTCCCCTCTCTTCTCCACTCTTCCCATGTCCTCTCCTCCTCTCTTCTTTCTCCTCATTTCCTCTACGTTTCCACTCCTCTCCTCACCTCTCCTCTTTAGTAAAAGCGTGTATCGACATGATTTATCTGTTTTTGTTTTCTGTAAGTTATACAGTGATCTTTCACACATGGGTGACATAGTTCTGTTATTCCCTTCATGTACACAGGCCTCCTGAGGTTCTATTGGGCCCCCATGCTTTCCTCTTCATGTGTGTGCATCCTTGAAGACATGCTTCCTCAGCACCCGGAATTTTCAGCTACAGAAAACCAAGAAAGCAAAAGCGATGTAAATCCCCTTCACACACACACACACACACACACACACACACACACACACACCCTCACACAAATCATAATGACAAACCTCTCCTTTTATTGTTATGTATTTGCAATTTACACCCACTGTCTTTTTGGCTATATGTTTATAATAATAATAATAATAATAATAATAATAATAATAATAATAATAATAATAAAATAATTCTCCCTGTGCATAGGGGTTTCTTCTGGGTACTCTGGTTTTCACTCCTTCCCTAATACATGAGTTGTAAGCTGACTAGCGTTTACAAATTGTCAGTAGTGTATGAATGTGTGTGATTGTGTCCTGAGATGGGTTGGCACTCCGCCAGCGAGTGTCCACCGCCTCGTGGGATAGGCTCCAGGCTCCCCATGAACCATGTGTAGGGTAACCGGTATGGAAAATGGATGGATAGATAGACGGATGGATGTGTCATCTTCTTTATCATCATCATCATCATCATCATCATAAACCAAGCACTTCATACTTATCTGAGTTTTTACAAGCTACTTTCAATTTCCATACAGATCACATCCACACCCATTTTGAAGCTTCGGATAGGTCAAAGCCTCTCTCCATGACTAAAGAAAAATATGAGGGGATGTACCTCCATAATTGCCCTCATGTCCCTGGCTGTGGTGTGAGGGGTTTTCTAACCTTTGCTGGGCTCACCACTGTGAGAATAAGGGGTATACACTGATGTCACTCTGCTAAAACAGAGAGTAGGAGCCTAACTCTGCTACTCCTGGGACACACACACACACACACACACACACACACACACATACACACACACACTTGCACTAATAGTTTCTCTGTCTATAATACTGATTACTACTGAGTATTTGTTATTAAGAAAAAAATATGTGATTTACGTGTGGTTTTAATAAACACTTCATATATTATTGTTCAGGAGTAGTGGAGTTTCCACATGTAGTGCATGAGATTTTATTATAACATGATTTTTACACGTGATGTTAATGTGTAACATGTCTTTTCACATGTAAGACAAGCGATTTTATTATTTTTGCATGTTTTATTTTTCATGTAGGGCATGGGATTTCCTAACAAGTATAATTCCCTTTCATATGATCACATATTAGTCACATATTAGTGATGTGTTTACTTGGCTTCACTTGTAACATGCAATTTCAGGGCATAACATGGTGATTTGGGCATAATGTGACCTAATATTTACATAATACCACGTGAGGGGATTTTTCCATAAGGGGAACAGATTAAAAAGTAAATAAATAAATACATAAATAAATAAAAGTGTGTGTGTGTGTGTGTGTGTTGTGTGTGTGTGTGTGTGTGTGTGTGTGTGTGTGTGTGTGTTGTAAAAACAAACTGACAGTTGTTTATGGCCAGCTTGTCACGTCTCTATCTCTCTGGGACAATCAGGAAATTAAGTGGTGAGGAGCGGCCGCGGGAGCCGAGGGGCCGTCAGATAACATTACTCACTCCCTGCATCACAATTAGTGCAAATGGTGCATTACAGGGAAATTATCATCAATATGATATTAGCAGATGCTCCCTAAACGAATCAAAGGGAAAACTGCTTATTCCTCTGTCTATCTGGATAACGAGAAGATCGAATGAAGAGCTCAAGGGGAGGAGAAGGTGGAGTGACACGTTCAGAACGAGCGATCCGGGGCCACAGAAACAGAATTAGATTAATTCTGTGCAAGACGTTTCACTTGATCTGAATAATTCATATTAATATTTTCATTAGCGTTTTAGTCATTTCTGCATGACTCAATACTTTTGATGATAAATATTGACATTCCCATCGAGTTCATGTTGCCAAGTACAGTATTTGACTTCCATTACTCATTAAAAATATCTTACATGTGATCTATATTAAACATACTCATCATATCAGATGATTCATTGTTTTGCAATTTTATTACATTATGTATTCGAGTCCATAACATTATCAATGTCATAAAATGGCACTTTATATAAGATAAAAAGCCACATCTTAAAATATACAAGACTATTAGTGTATTTTCCTTTAATTGCTTTAACGGCTTGTAGCCAGGAAAATAATGTTTAAACTGTGGAAATTTAAATCTCCCTTATGACAAAGCAAAGCACCATTATACCAAGCAAGCAGGCTATTTTGTTAATGCTGCCGTGTAAGAATTGGCCATCTCGGCCAATAGCTCTTTCTCGTATATCTCAGTTCATTTACTTAGTGCACACTCAGCTAAATACAGATGCCAAACAATAATGTATCTAAATATGGAAAAGTAATGCATGTGTGACAGAGGCGGTGCCATGTGTTTTGATTAAAGAGAAGCATGGACAGAAAAATGCTACCTCTACTATGTTGAAAAGACTGCATTACATTAATGAGTCCAACGTCTCATCAGTTTTAAAAATGTGTCCTCTAGCTACTTGCTATTTGTATCCTGGGTGGTTTATTCAGTCTCAGAAATTTCTCTGACATTTGATTCACTAATTTCCCCATTGCATTATATTTCCTCTTGTCGATTAGCTGAACTGCCACAGTAAATAAAATGTCACGTGCCTGATTGATGGTAGCACAGGGAATTTCCTTTTGCTTTGGTGATGTTAGTGGTAATTTTTTATTTTTTTTTTGCTCAAAGGAATAGGGATATTGAAGAAAAAATGAAAAGGGGAGAAGAAGCAGGTGTCTTACATCAAGAGGAAATCACAATTATCAAAGCTGTTATATTTGTAAATGAGTTCTTATTATGTTTGACTTGCCGGGTGCATGGTGGTTTAGTGGTTAGCATGTTCGTCTCACACCTCCAGGGTTGGGGGCTCGATTCCTTCCTCTGCCCTGTGTGTGCAGCGTTTACATGTTCTCCCCGTGCTGCAGGGGTTTCCTCCGGTTTTCTCCCCCAGTCCAAATACATGCATGGTAGGCTGACTGGCATATCCAAAGTATCCATAGTGTATGAATGTGTCTATGAATGTGTATGTGATTGTGCCCTGTGATGGATTGGCACCCTGTCCAGAGTGTACCCCGCCTTGTGATCCATGCTACCTGAGATGGGCTCCAGGTTCCCCGTAACCCTGTAGGACAAGCGGTATAGAAGATGAATGGATGGATGTTTGACTTACCACTTTCAATAAACAGGATAAATCCAAACCTCAGTAACTCAAAATAATGTAAACATTCCCAGTGCAAAGTTTGGACGAAAAGCAAAAATATCTGGAATATTATTGCGCAAATTTAAATGCATAATGACCCTAATATTTGGATCAGGTTTATAAAATAAACCTCTATTGAAGAGATTTGTGGAATTTATGCTGCAGTTGAAGGGGTTAATAAAAAATTTTGAGAACCCCTGGTCCAGGTACTTTGGGTAGCCCGTAAATGCAAAACAAATAGAAAAATGCAACAGCAAATAAACAACATAACCATAAATTCAGAACTGATCAGAACTCAACGCCCATCAGGGAACCAACTCCACCCACTGGAGGTTTGCACGAGACATTGCACTCTCAGTGCCAGTCCCAAGCCTGGAAAATGCGAGGGTTGCATCAGGAAGAACATCGGTTGTGAAACTTGACAGAATAAAAATATGCAGACAGACAATGCGCCGTGGTGAACCTGAATGGAAGCAGCTGAAAGAGGGAGAAGAAAAGGTGCTTATAAAATTTGCTTATTTCTGATTGGCTGCAACACATGGCAGTCTGAGAGACAACAGGAAACAGAGCTGGGGGCCTATATGAATCTACTGCTGCTTTAATTCCTGCTTGTCTTTTATCAAGAGCATTTACATGATTTTATGTTATTTTAGAAATGCTGTCAACTTTCCATGGCATTAATTTGAGCAAAATGCTGAAAAGCTGCCTAAGGAAAACAAATTTATTCAGAAGAAAGAAATGCTCCTTATTACAGGGCATGCTAAACGTCTCCATACAGAGAGGACTATGCACCACATCGGTTCTGTCTTCGTCAATGGACGTTCATGAACGTCCACGTCTCGGTTGATCCACCACACTTCCAGTCTTTTTGAATTTGTTAATAAGTTTGTTAAACAGTGTCGTGTGTGATGTTCTCGCCATGTTTCCAGTTAAAGTCCATCGCAACCTTGCGACAGCTTCCAGATCCAACCATGAGAATGATTTCAATACGTTCATCTTTTGTCAAAGGCGTGTTTAAAGGCTGTCTGACAAAACAAATAAGTATGAAAAATTTCAGAAGACATTTTGCTAAAAAGTGTTAATTTCCCCATGTATGGAGACTTTAGGGACTCCCTGTATAATAACATCAGTAACTTCATATTTAGTCATTTTCACTAGGCTGGCTAGATAACAGACTGAAGAAGTGCAATTCTTTTTGCATGTGAGAGTCATACACCGTGTCCAATCAGCAATAAGAAAGTGAATTTCAATAAAGACCTACACTTCCTATCATTTGATTTAATGTTGATAAGTTTCTGAATTTGCTGTTGTGTTTTTGGGTTTGCTGGTGCATTACTGATTTGTTACAGTACTTTCAGGACACAGTACTAGAAACTGGTTTAGACCAGACACGTGTACCAATGTGCATGTGGCTGTGTGTGAGGAAGCAGGTTGAGGCATGGGGTGACCAGGAGAGGGCTGTTCATTTCACAGCTGTAGTGGGATTATGTTCAGGGGGAGCAGTGCGGGTAATCCTGACCCTTTTATCTCATTCAAACATGCTGCTAATTCAGCAGCACACGGCTGGCACTGCGGCTAGTGCACTAAGCAGCGCATCACTCTCTCTGCAGTGAATAAACCTCCATTCTAATCCCCAATCAGCCACCTTGACACCCGTTTACACAACCCGACACACCCACACACATTCACACACACGGCAGCAGAGAGGTGGCATTTGCTAAAAATGTGTTCTCGGTGGTCGCTGCACTTCTGAGTTATGTGTGAGGGTATGTACCATTTCTCATTCAGAAACTCTTAGCGCTGCAAGTACAGAGAATTTCATACTTAACAGATGCATGCAAATGACAGAAAAAGAAAAAGAGAAGTGGTAAAACTGAAAAAAAAAATCTTACACACTGTTCCCATTGGTGCTTGTTATAATTATTTGTGTGCTTGTACAGTACATTCTACGAGATTCTGTAAAGAATTTAGAGAGAAAGTGACAATAGACAATGGATCACTATATAATTTGAGATACATTGGGGTTTTTTTAATATTAGAAATAAAAACTATTAAGAAGTTAAATACATGCAAAATGACGTTTTAAAATAATATCATAATAGTATCGGTGTTCTTTTCAAACTAATCTTTATCTAGCTCATCTTTTCTAAGCTGTAAACCTGCATAATTTATATTACAGCATCTGGCAGAAGCCCTTGTCTAGAGTGACTTACAATCTCATTTATACAACCGCGCAACTGAAGGTTAAGGGCCTTGCTCAAGGGACCAACAGTGGGAGCTTGATAGTGCTGGGATTTGAACTCACAACCTTCTGATCAGAAGTCCAATGTCTTAACTTTAGCTACCAAATTATGTAATTTTACATAATTTGTCTCTTCAGAAATGAGACTACTTAATGCAAGAAATAAAACATGCTAGGTGTGCACATGCAAGTGCTTTATTCCATGTATACCACAGCAATTTGCAATGATTATAATGTTTAATATATTCATGAACATGATGTCATGTTTTTAACACGAAACAATTTAGCTCCTGTTATCATGTTAATAATAATAATAATAATAATAATAATAATAATTTTTAAAGCAGCTTCTTAAAGCGCTGTACACAAAATAAGCAACAGACAATTTTAAAAAATTATGTAAAAATGATAATAAAAACAACAACAACAACAACAACAACAACAATAATAATAATAATAATAATAATAATAATAATAACAATAATAATAATAATAATAATAATAATAATAATAATAATAATAATAATAATAATAATAATAATAATAATAATAAATTAGATGTTAGTTGAAGTTAATTAAACAAAAAGACATGGTATTTTGTCATATTAAAATAACAGAAGAAACTGTCAAGCTAAAGTCCTGAAGTCTTTCCTGTGGTGGAAAACCTACTGTTACAAAGTACTGACACTGGAGACCCTTTCTATAAATGTTAAATAAACATCTCATCTCCTTATTTCTCCATATTAATGATTATATGTTTTCCTTTGTTTAATTAGCAACACATTTTGATAAGTTTATTGTTAGTCTTAGCTTATGAAGAGTATCCACTATAGTAAGTCCCCGAGTAAATTGTTACAATGGAAATAATATGTTAGAAAGAGTGCATTACTACAAACTTGTGATTTGAATTACATCTGATTTTACAGTCAGAGCTGCTCTCATAGAAAATGAATCAATACATTTGGGCCTATCAGATTTGTGATTTCCACAATACTGTGGTATAAATTAATATGATATTAATTTAGACACATAAACATAGCGTCTAAACATCTGCCTTATAGCACACTGATACCTTGAAACCTTCAGGGAATTGCAAAAGAATGTTGTATGTTGTATATTCCTGTATTGGAAATGTTTATGGATGCAATAAACAGTCCTTAGACCATCATAAGTAGTTTATAAAAGTTTACAATACTTTAATATTTATAGGTTTACTCAAACATGTGATACAGATGCTGTAGACAGAGCAACAAAGGGATATTCTCTTAAGAAGAGATATTATCACACAGAACATATTCTCTATAATAAATCTATAATTTACAAAGAGATGAGAGGTCTAATTTTACATTCATTATATGATTGCCACAGAGTAAATGTTACAAACGATTTGATTCCAAAGAGAGTCATAATTAAGTAAGCAAGCAAGTAAGTAAATTAGTAAATAAATAAATAAATGCAACCATAGTAAGCTCCACACCTCACTATTAAACTGAACTGACACAAGATAAGCCACATGTACTTTAAATGGACTTCCGCTGGGAAGAGGCTCTGCTTTATCAAGGATATAAAAAAGTGATGAGATATTGATATAGCCATCAAAGGCACATTTTAAAACATGCCATCTCATCAAAGAGACAACTGTATTATTAAACATGGTTGAATATAAAATTACACAACGTTGTTTGAGAGTAATCATTTTCATACGCACCAGATCGATGGGAAGTACATGTTTTATGTCGTGTCCTCTCATAATCTTTTACAGAAGAGGGGGATGATGTACAGTAGCCATTGCTGTTAGGTAAACACACTTACTAACAATTGATCATGCTACTGCATAAAAGCTTATTTGACAGACGTAAACAAATGGCATGGACCATCCGGATGCTAGCGAGAATCGAATGATTCTGAAGTTAATTCATCTTTGAAAGATACAAATTCCTCAAACAGTAAAAAGAAAAAAAAATATCAATGATCGGTTATAAATAATGTAGAAAATTCTGTATTTAAAACAAAGGTCAGATAATACCTTTTAAACAATGTGTCCTGGGTTGTTGGGAGGAACTGATGTAGATCCCTGCCCCTCCCCGCTCCCCAACACACTACCCCGCTACACGTGAACCTGTGCATAGAGCCCTACCTGCTCCACCCTGTGAGCCAACACACGATAAATAAATGCTTTCATTACTACATTACAAATCCATCATGGGTATTTTTGAGTAGTCTCAGTGATGCACAGAAAGCAGGCTTTTCTTTCTTTCTTTCTTTTCCAAACAACCACTTTTAACAAGCTCTGCACAATTTAATCCAGACTTCATTTTTAACCCACGCCATTGGGGAAAATAAAGAATTTCTGGTTTCTCATTCCTTTTAAATTTTGCTACGATGTCTTAGGGCCACAATTGCCATGATGGCCTAAGGACTGCAATTGCCACGGACAGTTTGCAC